AGGGAAGAGAGCCGATTGAAGATACCCATATTTCTTTGCTGTAATAGGTTTAGAATCAATCTTTTATGCTTCATGATCTATTTCATATTCTACTTTATAAAAATTGAATTAGTTTTGAGGGAAGTTTCTGAATTCATCAGTTCTGTATCCCTTGAGGAGATTTTCTACATGTGTTTTGTTCAGATTTTATGGGATGTCTAGATTGAATATGTGGATTAAATGCTTTGAGAAAGATATTAGATCTACTCATATATATCATTTGAGTTTACTGTCTAGTGGATGAAATTCTGTTTTAGAAGTTTGATTATATTGAGGCTCTTAAAATATTTATCTCACTGTTTAATAGCTATCAGTTGTGTGAAAGGTCTCAATGTTTTGATTATATAACCTTCTTCATTTGCACCCTATTTTATTTAAAATTTGACTTGTAATTGTCTTGAGCATGATGTTTGTTAAACATATGTATGTAAATGCGCACGCGCGTGCGTGTTATGGGGAAGTTTTTTTTTCTTTGATAGGCATATGTTTGATTTTAGATTGCGGAATGTTCCCTTTTACTAAATTTTAGTCTCTTTAACTGTTTATGATTAAACTTAACAAATGAAATTTTATTAATGCTTTCACCTTGTGTTATTTTAAATTATGAAAAATGTCTTCCCTAGCGAATGAATTTAATGATCAACAAAATGAAATTTCTAGCACTGTACGCACATGTATATGTACCAAAATTTTGACCCTTGTTTGTCATTGTGATCCCATTTATCTTGAGTTTAAGTTAATATTAATTCAATTTTGGTTTTTGAATCAACACAAGTAACAGATATTTTATTTAAAACATTGCCCCATAATAATCCCTTGTAAGTATAATCTTGTCATTGAACAGTTTTGTGAATAACAATTAGGTAAAAGATAGAAGAAGTAACCAACAATTGGCAAAGGATTTTATTTGTTGAATAGCTAATTAAATCTAAGATATATAATAATCATAAAGATGATAACAATGACAGAGAACATATTCATGTTTATTTATTTACCATGTGATATTTTCAAAATTTTTGTAGAAATTTAAATGATCCCTCTACCGTACAAATCAATAAATTTTTGCAAGTATGAAAATTCAATTCACATATTAAAAAGGGGTTTGGATGACTTGTTATTAATGATTTATTTTATCTTTTCATAAATATAATTTAATTAAGAAATAGTCTCATGTGAGATTTCAAAAGATTTTCATAAAGATTTAAATTAATCGCATTGTGGTGTAGGATAATAAATTTTCATAGATGTCGCAATTATTAATTTATATAGTAAATATAAATGAATTTTGTAAATAAAATAATAACATTTTTTAATGTAATTAATTAATTAAATTAACGTATTTACATAATAACCATTAAATTTTTTGGTCATATGAGATTCTTAAATATCTATAGACCTCTAGGATAATTATCTTATTATGTAAGTCAATAAGGATTCACAAGTATAACAATTGAGGTTTCTATATTTAAAAATATATGTTATATAGTTATGCATTAAAATATACTTAAAATATATATTATTTAATTTTTTCCTTATGTGAGAATTTGAATCTCCATAGATATTTAGAATAATTATATTACCATATAAGTCAATAAGGCTTTGGGAGTATAATGATTAAGAGTCTTTAAAAATATAAATATACACACGCTTAAAAATATTATTAATATTTAAAAATTTAAGTAAAATAAATTAAGTTGTTAAACTCTTTTATCATGTAAGATTTTGAAATATTCACAGACATTTAGAATAATTAAATTACTATATGCATTAATAAGGCTCTGTAGGTGTAACAGTTAAATTTTTAATAATAAAATATAAAAAATTAAACTCTTTTCTTTTCCTTATTTCAAAATTTTAAAAATTGAAAAAATAATTAAAATTAAATTATTTTTTACAATTTAAAGTATACATATCAAAATTTCATAAAATTATTTTATTTGCAAAATGGAGAATTATTTTCAATTAATTTATTTTCAAAAAAAATTCACCAATAACTTATAATCTTGAATTACGTGGGCTTTGATCCCCATCATAGAGTATTAGGCCTTAGAGTTTGATTTTGAGTTAAGTCCTTCCTTATAAATAAACAAATATTCCGTATTTTATTATTATTTTTATACTAAACACGTGAATAAGAAAGGGATAATTCAAATAATTTTAAAATTATATTAATTTAACACAATTAACTTCAGGTAATCGTTCTCATGAATAGGTGTTGTGGAGTGCCTAACACTTTCTCCATATATTTTTTGATTTCGTAAGACCATCCTTATTACTTTTGTGAACACTATATTTTATTTAGACATTTTTTAAATTTAATAATAATAATAATAAATTCAATCAAAAAATATAAAAAATAAAAAAATAAAATTTAATTCTTTTTAAGATTATATTTTTAAAATAAAAAAATCTTTAATTAATAGGTTTAATTTTACTTTAATCTAAATAATCTTTTGTTAGTTAGGATTTTATTTCTTTTAGTTCATTAAAAAAATAACCAAAAAATATAAAAATATAAAAATAAAATTTAATCTTTTTTAAGATTATATTTTAAAAACGTGATAATCTAACAAAATAAAAAAAAATCATGCTTAAGTCTTGAAAAATACCTCCCAATTATTTTAACTATTTAAAAATATTGAGAATTAACTTTTAAGAGTTAACTTTTTAAATATTATTGTTTTTCATAAGAAATAATAATTATATATTTTAAAATCAGATTTCTCTCTCTCTTAATTTGATTAAAAAATGATAAAAAAATAATAAAAACAAGGGGCGCGTGAAATGATGAATTACCCACCCCTAAGTTGCCTTTCACAGCAAAAGAATCAGAAGCGTGCACAGGGATTGGGCAAAGAAATAGAGGCGCATACATGCACAGACTTTCGGTGGGCAGAGAGAAAATGCCAGTGAAGGAAAAGCTGAACACAGCCAAACACAAAAAAGACCGGACGAGAGGAAGGAAACACACACAGAAAAGAGCAAAGGTCATTATAATAGGCTGCTTACTGGGTTTATTTTGTATATGGCTGTCTTAGCAAAGGTCTAAATGATATGTTCTGCTAGTAGGATTTGTTAATGCTATGATGGATTTTTGTATATGCCAATATGTCATTATAATAGGCTGCTTACTGGGTTTATTTTGTACGTGAAGAATTTTTTTTTTTTTGCCTTGGCAATTTATACATGTTTAAAGCTTTTTATGTGCTTAGAGATGTATTGGCAATATATTTCCTTTCTCAAAATTTTGATTATTGTTTTTGCTATGAGGGTGTCTAAAATAACGCCTTCAAAAATGAGAACATATTCTCTATTTTGAGACTTTTAGATAAAGGTTATGGTTCCAATCATATTTTTCCTTTTTCTTTCTAAGCTTCTATGCCGGTGACATAAGTTGGCTCGGATCACTAACTTTTTACCAATAAAATTCTGAGTGATCTTGTGCCTTTTAATGGCCAAAGGGATAGTTATATCAAATTTTAGCTTCTAAGTACTTGAGAATCAAACAATAGGGTTGCATCTTAAGATTGCATCTTTGGTTTACTTGTGAAAAGTATTTGTATAAATATACTTGACATCTCTTGTTGATTGAGACACCACACATACATGGCTATATATCAAATTTTGATTCCTTGTTCTCCTTGTAATCCTATTGGTCTTGAATTCAATTGGATGCTAACTTAATTTTGGTCCTTGTATTAACACAAGTAGCGCAAGATTAGTTAGAATAAGATATTGAATTAAATATTGTGGTTGAGTGGTTTTGGTTATTAGCAATTGTGTAAGCATGAAGGAAGATAATGAGAGACAAAAGATTACATTTAGGAATAATGTTGCTTTTTAAATACACTCCAAATCATTGGTTAATTCCAAAATATATGATGATGACGATGATAATCTCATACCGTGTGGGATTTTAATAATAATGACAAAAAAGAACATATTTATGTTTATTTATTTTTCATGTGATATTTTAATAATCTCCATAGGAATTTAAATGATTTCATATCGTGTAAATCAATAAGATTTTATAGATATAAGAATAAGACTTGTATGTATTTATATGAGTTTTAAAGGCCTATTATTAAAATTAATTCTATTTTTATAATAAATATTTAAGTCTCATGTGAGATTTTAAGAATCTTCGTAGAGATTTAAATTAATCACATCATCTTGTAGAATAATATATCCTCACAAATATTGTGATTCTCAATTTGTATATATTACATAAATAAATTATTTTTGTAAATAAAATAATAAATTTTTTATTTATTAATTAAATTAATAAATTTAAATTATAATTATGTTGTCTAATTAGATCTTTTCGTCATGTGAAATTTTTAAAACTCCATGACCTTTAGGATAATCATACTACCGTGTGAGTCAATAAGGCTTCACAGGTATAATGATTAAGATTTCTATATTTAAAAATATACGTTATATAATTATGCATTAAAATATATTTAAAATGAATATTATTTAATCCTTTTATTGTGTGAAACTTTAAATCTCTACAAATATTTAGGATAATCTTATATCGTGTAAATCAATAAAGTTTTACAGATATGGGAGTAAAACTTATATGGGTTCCAAAGGCCCATCATTAAAATTAACTCTCTTTTTATAATCTAAATTAATGATTTATTTAAGTCTCACGTGAGATTTTAAAAATATTTATAGAGACTTAAATTAGTCACATCATCGTGTGGGATAATAAGTCTTCACAGATATAGTGATTCTCAATTTCTATAATAAATAAATAATTTTTATAAATAACTAGCATTTACTACCCCGTGCGATGCACGGGAAGCAAATAATAAGCCAAACATTATTGTAAAAATACTTTCATAAAAGATAATGTCTTCAACGACAAGAAACAATGAAAATTCAAATGGCAAAATGATAAACAATTGTATAATACATACATTATAAATCCATAGCTTTTGGAAACATGATAAGGTCTAATCTCCCAAGTTTTTAAAGATTTCTGTATACACCACATTTTTTGTTGTTGTTGATCCAACCTTTTCTTCATCATGTAATAAAATCTTGAGTCCATCAATGCTTTTTACCCTTGACAATGCCACATATAATTGTCCATGAGTGAAAACTGGTTTAGTTAGGTATAACCCAACATGACGCAATGATTGACCTTGGGATTTATTTATAGTCATTGCAAATGATAGAATCACTGGGAATTGTCTTCGTCGCATGCGAAATGGCCATCTACTTTTTGATGGATTCATGTCCATCCTATGAATTAAAACTTTTTGATGTTGCCTTAAACCATTCAATGTTATGCCCTCAATAACATTTTTCCCTAGCCGAGTAATGCACAACCGTGTACCATTGCATAGACCAGACGCTTGGTCAATATTCCTCAATAGCATTATAGGTGCTCCAACCTTCAAAGAAAGAATATGTGGTGGTAATCCAGAGCAATTAATTGTGTTGAGAAACTCAGTTGTATACAAATCATCAAATGAATCGTTGTCTTCTGTAGACTTGCATACAGAGTCAGAACTAAAATATTCCATTGCTTCACCAGGTAGCAACGAACACATATAGTTATTAACTTCACTCACACTTTCAATAGTTGGAGCTAGAATTGCTCTATCGTTAAAGTATGCTATGTCTTCAAAATTGATAAGTAAATTTGGATAAGTGGAAGACACGATGGCATTCATAGGATCTTTTGAATTACAGATAAGCAAATTGTGAGGAATATCAATATTTGTTGTACCATCATGTGGTTGTCCCAGTTTCCCATCACCTACGTCTAACAACCAGTTGCTAAATTTTTCCAAAGCATTGCTATCGGTATTCATAGAAGATGATGATAACCGCATATTCTTTGTTAGTTTATATATTTTGCAATGATCCCATAAAGGTGAAGAACTAATACATGCATTAACAATGGTTGCTCTTGTTCCTTTAGGTATGACAGGAAGTATTTGACGGAAATCGCCACCCATAAGAATACACTTTCCACCAAAAGTATCATTTGAATGCATAATATCCTTTAATGTCCTATCAAAAGCTTCTATGCAATACCGTTGAACCATTGGTGCCTCATCCCAAATAATCAATCTAGTGCATTGAATTAAACGTGCCAAGGGAGAGTTTTGTTTAATACAACAAACAGAATCCTCTGTTATTTGGATAGGAATGGCAAACCTGGAATGCGCTGTCCTTCCAGAAGGCAATAAAGTAGCAGCAATGCCACTTGATGCAATAGTTAGGACAATCTCTCCTTTCGCACGAAGTGATGAAGACAAAGCATTCCATAAGAAAGTCTTTCCAGTTCCCCCGTAACCATAGACAAAGAAAAAACCACCATAGGGGGAGTAAACTGATGACATGACATTGTCAAAGACATGTTTTTGCTCAGAGTTAAGAGATTTTACCAACTTTGTAGCTTCTATACCCAAGGCTTGACGATCATAGTTTAATTCCTGTAGCATTAGATGATTTGTGACATCAAAGTTTGATGTTGCTACTGGCAATGGAAGTGACGAAAAATCTTGCAATGACTTGCCATTACTATGAAGAAGTGAATCAATCTCACGAAGTGCAGCTTCTTCCTTTGCAACCAGTGGCACATTAATATCTACAATAATTAATAAGGTCAATTATAAGCATTAACTTATGTTGACAATGCAAATAATAAAAGATTATTTAGATTTGCAATTTACCTGACAAGGTTGGATCATTTCGTGGGATGTATAATAAATCTTCAGACAATATCTCAGAAGTATTACTCCATACAAAATCCGGCCGACTCAAGCATGAGCAAAGTAGCATAGTGACAAACATCCTTCTCAACTAACTCCCGAAGCCCAAACTGAAGCCTCCCTAATTGCATTGATGTACTCCCTATCATCATCCAATAAACCTAGTGCAAAGCAAGCATCTTTGAAGGTTGGATATATAACACCATTAACCGTCTTAATATCATCAAATGAAGTAGGGCCCTTGACTTTTGTCAATAGTATTCTAAGGAAGTAAAGTTCTCCTGATGATGGTGACACGTGAGTTATTCTACCTACTGCAAAATCTCTTTTTCTTTCTTTCCAAGCTCTTTTATTCCTTTCATAGACATAATGATGTGGGAATTCAGAATATGTAAGAGTTTTGGCAAGATCTTGGTTACCATTCATTTCCATCCAAGCTAAAAATTGTGATTCACATACTCTTGGCTTATCTAACAACTCTGCCACGTCGTCTGTATTTGAGTAAACTATAGGTTGCTGATTTGGTAAATGAAAACTTAGTCTTTCAACAGAAGGATGTCTGTGGTGGATGTCAAATCCAAATATACGCCAGGATCCCTCACAAGCAGAAATATATCTACAGTTATAATACTGCTGAATCTCGTCACTGTTGTCATATATTGTTGCCACCACTCTATCATTTCCTTTGCTGATGTACTTAAATAAGTACTTGATAGAAGTGGAATGATTGCATTTCTCAACATTGATATGAGCTTGAAACATGGTAAGAAGGACAGAGTTATATGGGACAACAAATCTATTGTCTAAATGAATACCCTTTACTTCAATATCTCTCCCATCATTTCTTCTTTTATATGTAGGGTATCCATCTTCATCAATCACTGTTTGGTTGTTGAATTTTTTAGGGAAATATTTACTGCATTTCTTATCCTTCATGCACGGTGACTTGGGATTGCTTGTACCACATGGACCATGCATCATAAATCTCTTGACCAAATCATACAATTTTGGCGAGGTATGCTTATCTGGGATTTCTGCAAAGATTACCCTGTCGACACCATCCGAGTCATTGATTTTATCATGCTTGTCAAGGAACAAAAGTATATGGGCATGAGGTAAACCCCTCTTCTGAAATTCAATAGTATATACCTCTGTATATAAAGAAGATATAATAAGAAGAAGTCCAAACATAGAGAGATTAAAAGCTAGAAAAAATGGAGGTAATAATTTAAAAATGAAAGTAATAAATTATAAGAAAAAATATACATTTGAATAGTCATGGAATTTTACCTGCACGTATAGTTCCAAAAATTTTCTTTTCTTTAATTGTCTTCATCATCGATTTCAACTTCAATTTGAATACCCTAGATAATATATCTGGCCGATCTGATGGAGATATAAAATTTCGATCACAAAACCTAGTAATTTCTGGCCATGCTGGATTGCAAGTGAAAGTAAGAAATATATCTGGATATCTGCCCAACGACAAATAGCCATAGCATCTTGATAATTTTGAAGCATGTATCTTGCTCCTCCTGTAAAAGAAGATGGCAAAATAATTCGCCTTCCAGTTGCACTTGCATTTCTTTCTCCATTGATCAATGCATCTGACAACCCTTGATACAAATCAACTCTAAGCTCCTTTTGATGAGTCCTGACCCATAATAGTCTTTGTGATTCAATCATTGTATATCCATCTACAATGAACTGCTGTAATAATCTACGGGCATGAAGTAATATTGATACCTCATTTTGATGGGACATAAGTCTGTAAGAGAAGTATTCTCGCATGCTGACTTTCTTTTTCTTCTTTGTTCTAGTCAATGTTTCCTCTCGATGATCAATATCATCCCTATATCCATCCTCACCAAATGGGAATAGAATAGGATATTGAAGAGGAAGATAAGATGCATGCAATTCACTAATACGTTGAGGAGATCCTGATAATTCTTCTATGATAATATCTCTCCTACCGAATGACATGTCTATATCGCCGACGACTAATGCTGCAACTTCAGAGGCAGACGGAAGATTGTAGTTACGACCATCATGCTGCCTTGTACCAATCAAGCATAACTTCAATTCATTATAGGCATGGTTTTTGATTAGTGACGAGGCCATTCGGTATTGCTTCACAAAAGGATTGAACTCATTAAGACATCTTTAAGAAGATGAACTATAACATGATCAATCTTCAAACCTGTATGATGGTTGCTGATATAATTGAAATGCCAATGTTAGTATTCATCAAACTTTTATTATTAAATATGATAAAAATTTGAAAAAGGAAATTACCTTACTGCAGCTATTCTATTTGTAACTTCATTTTCAGTATCATAAATGTATAGTTGTGAGTACACAGGTCTAGCTCCTTCCAAGGGTAGTAAACTTCCAATCATGTGGTAATTCATTCCAGACAATATAAAAGAATAAGGACCACCACCAGAGTTAATTGAATGGTTGATCTTTCCACCCATAGATGTAAATGAAAACATGTTGTTGTATTGTCTTATATTTGCTAAGAAATCCTTTGAATGCATAGACTTCTTGTCAAAGAATAGTCTCTCTAACATTGGTGGCGGTGGATGTATGGTTGGTAATACAACCTTGCCCTTAAGGCAACAAATTGAGAATTCCATGGTTCTTCTAAATGTGTCTTTTTTGACACGCTCATTCAACCATAGTTCAGCTCCACAAAATATGCATATCTCAGTAGGATCTCCTTCATCTATATATTCTATATATTATTGTTAATAAGTTAGTACTTATTACTCAAAGTGATGCAAGATTAGAATAAATATTGTTCTGATAAAGATTTAAAAAAATGATATAATATATTGATAACTTATATGTTGACATAAAGGGAAACCAATTAAGATGAGTGATAAATAGAAATCATATTAAATCAAAAAAAGAAGAGGTATAAAAATACAGTGTTACAAAATGCTCATAAATAATAGTTTCTTTAAAAAATACAATTGTAGGTACCAATTAAAAATAAATATATTCATGAATATATTTGACATTATAAATATAATTGATTTTATCTATGAAAGGTTTGTGAAAGACCTTTAAATAGTGGTTGAAACATCATGTAATGAGGTGGCTACTTTTTTAATGATAGGCTAATGTATTTTGACATATTAAAAAGTTTTTATGCATATAATGGAAAGTTTATGGAGATACGCAATTTACACAATTCAAAAATACCAAAGTGTAAAATATAATGTTTATAACACATAAGCAATTAATTATAAAATTATAAGTAACAGTTCATAATATTATGATGAAGATGATAAGCATTATACCTGGTGCAATGCCTTCCTTTTGATTATCCTCAGTGTTATGATTTTGTATGGTGTCTAATTCATCTAGAAAAAATGTAAAAAAAAAAAGGTACAAAAAAAATAGAACTTATTCATAAAATAATATTTATATATTTATAAATTGAGATAATATATTTTTAACATATAAATCATAAAGTAATTACTTATCTAAAAATAACTTAAATAAATGGAAACATATATTACCTCCAGATTGTCCATTGGAGTGTTCGCTATCATCATGAATTTCGTCATTATTAAAATCATAATTGAATTGAAAATCTTTATATTTGATTTCAAGACCTGTAAGAAAACAATTCATGCATCATGGAAACTAATATGAAATGTTCTTGCAATAACAATGACAATAGTCTTACCTGTTGAGCGAGAAGGTTGGTCATTGATCCTAATATTATTTGGATTCATGATAACTGCAAATAATTAGGTTGACCTTGTTCATTCAATTCATTCAATGTATAAAATAATCAAGTGATGTAATAAAATATTTATTTAAACATTGAATTTACAGTGGGGATGTGACTATACCTTTTTCTGTTTTGTGCTTTCTATTACTGGATTTTCCAATTGATATTTGTGTAGTGGTTTCATTGCTAATGTTTTGGTTACCAATCTCAATAGCTTTGAACCTAGCACTCTTTCGCTGATAAACATTCTCTTCCAAATATGAACATGAAACCCAACCAAATGATGTTTCCAATTAGTTATGCAATGTAAAAGATGATGAGGAAACAGTATGTGGAGATATTGTAATAGGAAAACAAAGATATTAACTTAAACCATATGTTCACCTGCCTCGGTATGGTCTGAAATCTTTGACATAAATTTTTTGCTACATTTGTCAAGTCCTTCAAAGCTTTTCTTTTCTGTCTAGTTTTTAACCCTTTTTTCATATCTTGTGAGAATATTGTATTTGACTGTGTACATCGAAAACTGCATTCTGGGCTGGTTAGACAAGTTGAGATATTTTGAATGGATTGAGGACTATTGCCAGGTTGCAAGTTATCTATCATCAGCAAAGACAAGATATACTTGAGACAAGCTTGAGGTATATGTGAATGCATTTTAGTGGTTACAAAATAAACATACCTGCGACAGTTTCAGAAATGATGCTTGTGCATCTATCTTCTTGTGTCTGTGTTGCTTCATTTTCTGAGAAAATGATTCTTCTCTTCCTCGGCATTATGGAAAAGTGAAACTGTTTGGGGCGTTAATCTGAAACAGGAGGAGAAATAAGCCTTGTCTGAAGCGTATGAGCATCTGTCATGTGTGAATAAAAAACAACTTGCTTCAAGAGATGCATGTAATATGTTTGTTTCCCATTTTTTTAGTTCACAGAACCCATGACGTGTGAAAGTGACAGCACTTGGTAGCATTCTGAAATTTCATGTAAAGATATATATATATATATATATTATAAAGCATGTAGTTTGCAAACTTAAAGGTGGGTCAATAGAAAAAGTGTTTTTTCCGTTTTTATGTAATTGGCTCAATAAGGTTGTCAAGTTCATAGGTCAAAGCAAGTATCCTTTCTCATTTGTCCCTTCAGTGTTTTCAATTGGGCCATCAATCCATAAAGTTTGTCCTAACTATCTACTTGTTATAATAAAAAGTTAACTTGAGTGCATGTTCCCATAAAGGATAAAGCGATTTAGAGTATCCCATAAGATATGTTAAAAACCATTAAAAATATTTATAGAGACTTAAATTAGTCACATCATCGTGTGGGATAATAAGTCTTCACAGATATAGTGATTCTCAATTTCTATAATAAATAAATAATTTTTATAAATAATGATATAATACACAATTTTAAAAAATTAATTAATCAAATTAATATATTTAAATTGTAATCATATTTATTGATTATATCTTTAGTCATGTGAGATTTTTGAATCTTCATAGATTTCTAAGATAATCGTATTATCGTATAAGTCAATAAGACTCTACAGATATAACGATTAAGTTTTTAAAATATATATAAATTATATATTAAACCAATTAAATTAAACATGTACTTAAGCGTATATTATTTGATCTTTTATTATGTGAGATTTTGGAAGATTCTTAGATATTTAAAATGTAACACCCTCAAATTTACAAACTGATTTTTCGCAAATCATTAATTCAATAAATTATTTTTTTTCATTAAACCCTCATCATACCCTTATCATGGTAGAAAAATTTCTACCATGGTACATCCAAGACAATATACCACAGGTCTTAAAATATCTCAAAAAAAACAATTAGAACCATGAGGGACAGACAGGATCCTCATGGCATGATATTTAAATCAGGTCATGAATCAAGAGGGACAGATATAATCCTCTTGATCATATAAATACTTTTAATAAAAAGAATTAGAGTTTACATGCTTCACAAAGAAGATATGTCCTAAGTTGGCACATGATACATTGTATAATCCAAATAAGAGGCAACGTAAAAGATGGTGTCTCATACACCATAGTTACACCTCTGGTGCTTTCTCGGCCGGACTCGCTCCTGTAAAAATATTAACCACGGGGAATGAGACTTAAAAGTCTCAGTAACCAAAAATTAATATGTAATGATGCATGCGATTGTAACTAATCATGCAATTGCTAAGTGGGCACACAAAATATTTAACCGAATAATATTTTCAAACAAACCGAACAAGTATTTAATTTGCATGACTACACCTTATATCCTCCTTTCGCCATGCTCGGACGCCAAATCACCCGGCCAAAGGTGAGTTGGACCAAGCGACACACCACTCATTGGGTCCAATGAGGGCTTACCACGTGGTAATAATTAACCGAACAGAAATTCCCATTAACACCATACATTAAAATACCCTGACAAGTCATGCATCATTCAAATATCCAAACAGGAATATATCCGAACAATAATATCTCATCATGATAAATAAAAATAAATTTTTGACCCACTTGGCAATAATTTCAAACAAGTATATAACAGTATTTATTTTTAATAATTCATAGTTTTTCCAGACAACAAGTCAACACATAACCATTCACAAACACACTCATCACAACACATTAATAATGGTTACCTTGTGTCTTGAATAACAAGTTCCCCTTCACAACTCCTTTTTCACCACTATCTTTGTCAATATAATCTACATAATTATTTCACAATACTATATATTAATTTTACATTAAAATAAATAACTCTAATTTAAAGAATTAGAAAGTCTTAGATCTATAATCCATATTAATACTAATTTAAGATTTATGCCTCATTTAACTTTCCAAATTCTTTTTCTAAAATTCTCGTACCCTAATAAACTATTTTTTTATCCTTAAATCACTTATCGTATCACAATTTCATCCTTCTATATTCTAAAAATTCGTCCAAAAATAAATTAAAAATTTTAAAATTATCCTGAAGCCTCAAATCACCTTTCTATAACCTCAAAAATACCTATTCATACTTAAATAAATATTTAATAATCATAGGTTTATCCCTACATCTCAGATTCCACATAAATTCAACCATATAGATCTAGATTTTAACTCAAAAATTCTTAAACATGAGTTTCAACCTCAAGAAAGTATTCTATAATATTTATTATATCCCTAAGAGTTTTAACCTATATTTTTAATCCATCATATCATTAGATTAACTATCTTATAGAAAAATCTTAATCAGAATATTTACTCTATCCTACAAAATAATCATATCACTAGAAAGCTAATATTATTTAAAAAAATAACTATAAAAATTAATTTTGTAATTAAATAAATTTTTAAATGCTAATCTAAACAGGAAAGTTAGAACATACCTAAAAAAAAAGAAAATAATCCCCCCTTACGAGAAAACACCGAGCAACGTGAGAGGAAGAGAGAAAAATAATATAAAAATGAAATTTTGGGTCCCAAAATTATATTAAAAAAAACTATAGGTCTGAATTTAATTATTCAAACCTTTGGGCCACAAGTTGTAATTTTTTCTAAATTATATCTTAGCCTCTCATGCTTCCTAATGCACACACCCCCTCCTTTTTATAGATGAAGGCACCTCATCTCTTCCCTCATCTAACCAATGTGGGACTTAGAAACAACAACCTTCCACCCCCCTTTTTTTGTTCCTTCTACCTTCTCTCTCTGTTTTTTTTAACACACACATAAAAAAAACTATTTATGTATTATATTTTAACTAAATATTGCTTATGTGGTTTTAAATTTAAATTTTTAAATTCATAATTAAATACCTAATCATAATATTATTTCTAAATAACCTCAAATAATATAAATTCCTATTATTATTATTTTTTTTCTCAAAACCTAAATTCCACAATTTCTTTATTATATAAAAATTAGGATGTTACATAAAGCAATTGTATTACCATATGAACTAATAAGGTTCTGCAGGTATAGGAATTAAATTCTCAGTTATAAAACATAAAAAAGAATATATATTTCTAAACTCTTTTCTTTTCTTTATTTCAAAAATAATTAAATTAAATTACTTTTTACAATTTAAAACACATATATCAAAATTTTAGAAATTATTTTATTTACAAAATAGTGAATTATTTTTAATTAATTTCTCTTAAAAATATTTTCACCAACAATTTATAAGCCCAAACTATGTGGACTTTGATCTCTATCAAAGGATACGTAGGCCTCAGAGTCTAATTTTGAGTCAAGTCCTTCCTCGTAAATAAATAAATTTTTCCCATTTTATTATTATCATTTTTTAAAACATGTGAATAAGAAAGGGATGATCAAAATAATTTTAAAATCATATTAATTTAGCACAACAAACTTCAGGTAACCGTTCTCACAAATAGGTGTTGTGGGGTGCCTAACATTTTTTCCACACTCAATCGATTTCTGAACCTATTTTCTGCTTTCGCAGACCATCCTTATTCTCTTTTAATTGGTTTCCCAAGATTTCTCTCAAAATTTTAATGGTGACTCTCGTTTCATTCTGTTCCCACCTCGAAGGTCGGAACTTTCGCTCGTATGCCGTCCACGTCGCATTTTCAGGTGTGACAACTTTTAAATGATTTCCTAATGTTTTTCTCAAAAATTTGGTGGCAACTCTTATGTTGCCAGTTTTCGCTCCAAAGGCCAAAATCTCCGCTCACGTGCTGCCCACGTCACACTTTCAGGTGCGACATGATGCATTATTTTGTGCTCGGATGTCCAAAATTAAAATGGTAAAGAGTTTTGTTGTGAAACCAGTGTCAATAACTAAATGGCTTAAAAAGTTATGTGTGAACATTTGAATTGTTCAAATCAGACATTGGATGGTGAAATGATGTGCTTCTAAAGTTGGTTGAAGGTGCTATCATAGTGCACTGCAGAACGGGAGGGCTTCCCTCTCTGTGCCATCCACACGCAGATGACACATGCGCTATGGCGGATAATGTATTTTGAGTAATGTCCAAATTGTCCACTTTGATGCCTGAATGTGATGATAATGATTTTCATGCTTCCGTTAATCTATTTTGTATATTTTAAACTATGGTTTAAGCTTAAACATCATTTCAAAAAAGGGTTTCTTGTGCTTCCAATTTGAAACTTAATTTTCTTAAACCTTTGTATTATGATTACTTTATATATGGAATTAAGTAATCCTAGTTATCATAATAATATTGTGTGCTGTATTCTAGTAATGTCAAGACGGACATTACAGCAAATGTGTCTTTTCTTGTTAAAACATATTTTCACTTAAGACATTTAGGCCTGTAAAGAGTTTTAATATTATATTGAGTCCTAAATGCAAATTTATATGCTCTGGGTCCTCAGTAAGATTCTCTCTTTCCTTTTTGCTCTTTTGTCTTTATCGATTCATCACAAAAGCCCTGATATACACCTGATGACCTGATTGAAGAATAGATATATTGTATATACATGATTATTACTCCAAGATTTAAAGTATATAAAAATTGTTTCAAATACATAAATAGTTATCTTTTACATAAACAACAAAATAAAAATACTTATTTTTCCCCATTTTTTGTCAATTTAATTTCTCCATTTTCCATTTGTTCCAAAACAAAACATCCTTATATACAATAGAAGTTCCTATATTATCTCTATCAACTGTTCCTTTTTCCAGCTTCAATCCGTCATTGTTAAAATAAAGATCACATCATCCAAGAAGTCAAATTGCATTGAGAATTTAATGGACAGCAGGCACTACTTGCCAATAACATCATTTTAAGTATTC